AATGCATTAAGCTGGATTAATCAAAAGTGTTTGAACTATTAAATTTGATTATGAGAATTTTGGTCACATTTTTTTTAAATTCATGAATGATTATATAAAATCAGTGAGATCTCTACTTTTAGGAAGTACATCTTTTTATTTTTCACACAACTCTTGAACAATTATCGACTACTGCTTGGAGTACTACAACTTATGTCTGCATAGGCAGATAGGAAACTGTATCCAATTAATTTTTGATGCTCAGTGTAAATTCAGCACCATTCCTTGAAGAAGCAGTCAACCATTTCCTTCTGTCATACTCAATGCTGCTCCTTCTCTTGTGCTATCCAAATTTTTCATAAAACTTCCCAGTAAACCACTAATACTTAACAAATCAACCTAACAGAAGAAAATTAAAAAAATGTAAAAACGTCTTTGTTTCTGATATGGTCATCTGAATACCTAAGCAAAATCTTGTGGTTTTTAATGGCAGCAGTAGATTGAGATAGCATCCAATGAAGTGCTTGATTTATGGCAAGACATCTCAGTTCATTGACAATTTTTGTCTGACTTCAACTGCCCATGAAACTACACAAATTTTCAAGAAAATCACCAGTCATCCTATGCAGGTACATAGTTAGGCTCCTGAGCATGCATCATTTGATAATCATTTAGAAATTTAGGCAGTTTGAGTCTTAGATAATTAATTACTATTTAAAGTTGACTTCAAATAATTTTTGTTCACATTTTCCTAGTGTGCCATCAGTGATGTCTAAGAATGCAACCTGATAAAATGGCTTAAAATGCCCGTGAGTCCATGAAAAAAATATTTTTCATTTTTGGTATAATGGCTTGTAGTTTTTATCTTGTTGTATAGCTCAGTAGCACTACAATAAATTAGTTTTGCAATTATCAAATTGTTTAACTTCTCTTTGGCATTTAATGAACCTCAGCAGCTGTTTATTGCTTCATATACTTTGCCATCATGAATATTAGCCTTTAATTAACTGGAACTCTAGTCTTAGTCTTTCTAACTACATTGCAATGAAATACTTTTATTAGGCTGATGAAGGTACTGTTTGTTACTGCTTTTTCCAATAAACTGAATACTTTCAGAATGTTTTAGGTGTTTTTTTTTTTTTTTTTTTTTAGTCAATAATGGAAAGTTAAGCTAATTATGAAAAGTAAAGACACAATATATTTTTGTATATTTTACTTAGAAACATAAAATTGCATAGAAGTCACATTTGGAAGGGTCCTCTGAAGAGCACCAGGATCATTAGAATGTATCCCTTTGATTTCTGTATTTTTCCTTAAAATTATAGGGAAATCATTGCAGCTTGGAAGGTCCTAATTGAGATGTACATAACAAAATGCTAAATCTGCATGAGAAAAAGAGACATTAGGAATTGTCAGATACATGTTAGAAAATATTTTTCAACAATAATCTATTGTGATAAATGTGTCTTCTCTATGAAAAGCAAAAGAGACATAGAGTTGGTGTTTTGTCCTGAAGAAATTGACTGATCTAAAGATTATGCAACTGTTTCTCCCTGTGTTTACTGTGCTCCAGATTTTAATTGTTTCTCTTTTATTACTTCTTATATCTACTGATCCAAATTCATTATCAAAATGCCTGTACTGTGATTGTCTGCAAATAGAGAAGAAAAGGAAGCCTCATCTTCAATTTCTATATAGGAAAATAAATATATGAAATAAATGCAGATAAATTGGGAATTATAAAAAAGTCAATTATATGCCTTTATTTTTCCTCAAGCAAACCTAATTCAATATTTTCATAAGTGATCTGGAAAAAAAAAAAAAAAAAAGGATTATATAATGAAATCTACAGTTGATTCTATGTTTGGAGTAGTTATTAAAATAGATTAAGATTAGAGTGTCACAAAAATAGAAGTAGAAAGCTTTCATAACTGGTGTGGCAGAATTGAAATTAAATATAATAGTACGAAGTACAGAGTAACGCACTTAAAATTAATGATAATAAGTTATATTATTAACATTGTGCTTGTCTATAGTGAAAGATGGTTACTGTCATTAATCAAAGGATAACTATGAGTTGCCAGTCTATTGTGACTGTGAGAAACTAAACATAATGCTAGGAGGTCTACCAGAAAAACTATTTCTGTGTGGTGTGAAAAGGTACTACCAACTGTGTTTCTCATCGCTGATTCTGTGGATTTGGTAAGCTTGAATATATTTCTTTTTTATCAGCTTTTCCAGTTACATCTTGAACACACAGAAACTTCAAGAAGTCTCACCACTGAATTTGTGCAAGGAGTTCCATAAATCCATGAGTTGCTGCATGAATACATAATCATTTTTCTTTGTTCCAAATTTTTCACTTAATGGCTTGTTTTCATGTTCTGTACTCTTAGTGAGGGAAACAATGGAAAATCAGTTCCTATTCATTCTCTCTGTGAAGCAGTGATTTGCTTTTATTTCTCCTTAGTAATCATTTTCCTGACATTATATTTATGTAAAAGTCATTCTGTAACTTCAGACATTGTTCTTCTCTGAAACTCTTTTAAATGTACCATATATGTTTGTTTGCTTACTTTGGTTTTTTGAGTTGGCAGATCAGAGTAGGCATACTACTTAAAATGTGATTTCTAACTATTGAAATAAGGATAATATATAATAGCATTTCAGCAGTAAAAATTTCTTGACAATTTTTTAAACCCATTTTATAGGTCAGAAATATTAGAGGAATAATAAAGAAGTGTGTTTGATGACCAAGATCTTTTTATTCCTCTAGTTTTTTTGTTTCCGAATGAAGAATATGAAGAAGTTGAATTAACACAAGCTTGTCTACCAGAAAATTTATAGAAGTGCAGTAGATAAAAGTTCATACCAAAACTACTAAAATTAATTAGGAAGAATAATTTTTGTTTTCAGATAAGATGTAGTTTGGGCTTGCTTTTTCTACCTCTAATGATGATAGTCTGCCAAAAATAATTAATATTTTAGCTCATGTAAGCAAGACAATGTATTCTTTATCAATAATGTAAGTTAAAATTTAATTAGAACGGTGACTCCTAATACTTTATGGAAACACACGTCTTAAAGAATGTATGAAGATCACACCAATATTGGAAAAATGCATGGATGGAGCATTAAAAAAATCTAAAGAAAAGTGAAAGCACCTATCCTGATGGCACAGAACAAATTGGGCCTCTACAGAACAACAAGCGTAGATTTATTCACATCTGTTTCAAGTGCTTTTCTCAGAGTGTTATGCTCTACTGTTGCAGATATGTTTACTAAGGAGTATTACATATGTATGCATATCAAATCTATTTTCACTAGGCATGGTCTATAGGTGATAGCGCTATACAGCAGTCTGTCACAGTTTAGAAGCCCTAGTTTAAACAATTTGCATTAAAGTATGGTATACACATATCACTGGTCAATCACACTGTGTCAGTCTTATGAGTTGTAAAAAATAGTAAAATATGTTGAAGGAAAAAAATTGCAAAGTCAAGTTTTGATCTTGGTTGCCACAGTTAAATTACAGAATAGCGCAAGTGAAGCAAAGAATATCACATGCTTGTGTTCTGTTCACTGAAACACTGAATGTACTGCTAGAAACTAACATCAAGGTCATTGAAGACAGACATAGAAACATATAATAAGAGAATTAGAATGATACAAAATGCTGGGTATGAGTTACAGTCCTTGAAGCTCTTGCCTTTTTTTGAAAATGATGCTTTTTATATTATAAAAAGCAGCAAGTCACAGTGGCATTTTTGAAGAAAGAGATATGGAGAGAATTGTAGGCAGTCCTTATCTCAGACATTGCTATAAAATTAAAAAAAAAAAAAGAAAAAACGGACAAGAATTTCTCAGGGAGTAATCGTCAAGGTCATTTGAGATTACGTTAGCTCTCTTAGTCTCTTCTAGCATTTGAAATTAGCTTTGTTAATTAGTTTAAACAGTAGATTTCTTCTAAGTATTAGAAATTCTGTTATCTTTGTGCTGGTTTTCAGTTACTGTTACTACTAAGTTTGGCTGAGAAAAAAAGTTCCTTTGTGGACATTTTAGAATCGGACTGTCATTCAGGCACTCAGGCTACATGGTACACTGACCAGACACAGTTCCGCTTGGTTCCTTAGCTGAATCAGATATTCTTCCAAGGCAACAAAGGCAGAATGGAGTGATTTAGGAGTAGACTCTTCCACTTCTTCTAGGTTTTCAACCATTTATCATAGAATTCTAGAATCCTTAGAGTTGAAAAAGATCTCTGAAGGCCATCTAGTACAACTCCTCTGCAATGAACGGGGACATCCACAGCTAGATCAGGTTGCCCAGGACCTTATCCAGCCTTTCCAGTCTCCAGGGACAAGCCATCAACCACAACACTAGGTAACTTGATCCAGTGCCTCACCATCCTCACTGTAGAAGATTTTTTTCTTATATCTAACCTAAATCTCCCCTCTGACATTGAAACCATTTTCACTTGTGCTATCACCACAGACCCCGATAAAGAGTCTGTCTCTGTTTCCTGTAGCTCCCCTTTCGCTACTGAAAGGCCAATACTAAGGGGCTGGAAGTCATATGAAAGCCATATGCAGAGGAGCTGAGGAAACGATCTAGTGAAGTAGGTCAAAGAAAGAAAATGGTAAGACAAGACAGCTGTATTAGATAGAAACCAAGCCAAATGACTTCTATAAAGAAACGATTGAAAGAAGAATATTTCTCGAGGAAAATGCTTGATTTTACAAGAACTTGTACTTTATTATGTAAATGTATTTTTGATGTTTTTGTATTAAAAATTCTGCAGGAACTGAGGTGGCCACAAAGAAATACAAAGTTTTTATGGGGGAGAATGAAATTGGTAAACAAACAAAAAAGGAGCAGGTAGTGAAACTTGTAAAGACGGTTGCAAACAAATTTGGGAGATCAGTGAGGTTTTTATTTCTTTCTGTGTAAAGTCATATAAGCTTTTTCTAAAAATGTATTATCATGAAATTATGGTAGAATTTGTTTGTTTCTGTTTTAAGGTAAGGGGACCCCCACTTGCAGGAGCGTTTAAAGAGAGACCAACAAAGCCCACAGCATTTCGCAAGTTTTATGAACGAGGAGACTTCCCCATTGCTGTTGAGCATGATACGAAAGGGAATAGAATAGCATGGAAGGTAAGTCATAGCATGCCTTTGATAGCCACATGAGCTTGTTGAAGTGACATCTCTAATTGTCAAAAAATAGTTGTCTCGGAAGTAAACAAACTGAAGTTTCTTAGAAAATGGAAGATGGTGTGGAAGCTGTAAAAAAAAAAAAAAAAAAAAAAAAGGCTCTTGATTCAGCTGTCTACCTTGGCTAACAATTAAATTATATGCTGCAAAAAGCAAGATGACAGAGTTGCTTTGCCTTAGAGAATTGCCTCCTGCCCAATTCATCTCTCTTTTTATGAGGACCTGGCAATGCAGCCTATTTCAGGCAGTCCATCAAATGATGGAAGTGGTTGGTTTCACTGAGCAGCAGCCATTTATCTACCCCAAATTTCACCTTCCTGCAGGACACTTCCAAATAGAAGCTTTAATTACCTAAATGGATAGGTCAAGATTGCCTGCTCCCTGAAAATGCAGAGCAGAATACAAACGAAGGCAGATTCTCATTCCACAGCTGTACTCTCAGTCTACAGCATATGTCAGACAGCGTAATCGCTGTCATACGTGCCCCTGTTAGAGGCTGACCTCCACTGCTGAAACCATTACAGCTACGACATTTCTCTGACAAAAGGTTAATTGGCTTCAAAATAAATGTATTGCCTAATGACTCCATTCTAATGCGGCTGTGTTTCTCTCTAAAAGGCTTGGTGATGTTATTTGTAAAACTTGCCAATCTTCTAAGTAACCACTGCAGACTTTTGAATTTAATTTTAAAAATGAATGCTGATCTTTAACCTGCTCCTACTATTTAATTATTTTTGTTGTCGTGAATTATTCTTTTTTGTGTTGTTTATTGTACTAGAATAAGATTTCACTGAAAGCAATGATAGTTAAAGAAAATAACGTGGTACATATGAAAATAATATATCAGATTTATAGAATATTTAAAATTTTTCATGTAGAGAAAATGATATAGAATTTACATGTGTAGCTTTGTTAATTCAATAAAATGGGAGAAATTTTGCAATCTCATAACTGATTCTGCTGCTAATGATGTCAATGGGATTTGACCTTTGCTGTAGTAAGTGTTGCTGTATAATTTGTTAGTAACTACGAGTTAAGACAGCTTTTTTGTGTATTTAAGTATAGAATGGGGATTTGTACTGTGAGAAAGTATTGTTAGCAGTAACAATGCTAAATTAGCACAAGGATCAATTAATAGTTCTTGCAACTAATCTCTTATCATAATGAGATTCCATTGCATCGGTCCTTTAGACAACTGTAATCATGATTTCTCTGGATTAAAGTTCACAGGTTTACAGTTTAAGTTTCCATTCCAATCTTTCATCACCCAGTAAGAGTCAATGATGATTTGCAAACATGCAATAATCTGTAGAATTCAGTTTTTTTTTCCTGAGGCATTATAATTTCTGATTTCTCAAGATTGGATTGAGAGATACATTTAACCTCATTTTAACTGCTATTTGGTGTACATACTTCCATTATAAGGATTAACATTCTACTTGATGATGCTACTGGCTACTTAATTGACTTCTTGCTAACTAACTTTCTGAGCCTTCAAACTAAAGCTGAGCAACTAGAATAAGTGTTTGTTCCTGTATCTGGCAGTTTGAGTTGTTTGAAGATATACTTACTACCTGAAGACAATCACAATATAGAATCTCTGGTGAACAACCCAGCAGGATTTTTTTCTTATTGCAATTTGTAATCTTATCACTCCAGTTTTTTTCCTAATACCCACCTACCACAGTAACACATTGTCATGTAGATAGTGAGACCTAAGGCTCTTATGTCATGAAACAGCTACCTCTGGTATTGCTGTTCATCCTCTCTTTCAAAACAAATTATCACTACTTCAGCATGCATCTAAGAAGGCAGTGTAGTAGTGCACTGTTCCATTCTTTTATCATCAACATGGCAGGGCCCAAACTTATTTCCCTTATTCCAATCCACTTGATTTATTCACGGATCAATCTAGACTGAGTTTTGTGGCAGGCACTCAAGAAAACAATACTGAGATAGTAGAATTACTTGGGGCTATTGTTTAATTTGGCACACAACCATCATTGATTATTGTGCATCTTAAAAAGATGTAGAAGGCAAATAGAAGTTTTCTAGCTCAAACTTTAGGCTACATAGCTTCTGAAGTCCTGCATGCTTCTGCTAGGGGCTGAGAATGTTGTTCATCATTAGTTACTATTTTAAGATGCAGATAAAGTAAATGTCAGTATTTTTTACTTGCTTCAATAACATGAAAATAATCAAGATAGCTAACATACATCTAATGGCTCATTTTCTCTCATTCATCATATTTATTTGTAAACTTGATTCAATCATTCTAGAAATATATTTTACTCCATACTGCTTAAATTCATGAAGAAAAAAAAAAAAAACATTTTACTAATATGTCTAGGAAAATGCTTTAAAATATCTTGTCTAAACTATATTTGTATGAGTTAAATTGTTCTAGTGAAAGAAACTATAACTGTTATTTTAATCCTGAAATCACTGCATGATATTATTGTTTTATTCTGATGTGTTGTTTGTTTTTTTTTTTTCATTTATTTATTTATATGCTATTTATATCATGGTTCATTTGACTTTTGTTAACTTGGATACCCAGTGGTGCATGAGAAAAAATGCAAGGGGGGTCTCAGAAATATGATTTATTCTGACAAAGGAAAATACTACAGGATTTTTTTCGTTCGTTAAATACATGCAGTGGGTTTTTCTGATCGGCTTTTCATAATTACTGAAACAAAACAAAATGGTCATAATTATCAGACATTACATAATGTTTTGAAAACTCTTTACTATTCGCTATATTGTGACTCTGTGGAAGAGTCATTTTTCGGTGGAAGAGAAAAATTTGAAATCTTTGAACATCCATAAATTGTCTTAACTTACAAAAAACTTCTGCTATTATACATAAATGACCCTGGATTTTGTAACAGTTCTGGCTCCCCCTTATTTTAAACACGTGATTAATTTCCTGTAAGGACTAGCTAAGAATAATTATTACTGTAGACCCAGACAAGATATAAATTTTAAGTTCTGAACTAGTGAATACCTATATGTGTTGATTTTCTGATTCTGAAATAATAATTCTTACTGGGATATTAGCTTAATTATTTCCAAAATGGACAAAATTTAGAAAGAAGCATTTTTACTGTAAATTATTCGTAAATTTTGATGAGATTAAACTTTGCCTGCAATGACAGTGCTTACATAAGATCCTTTTCTTAAAATAAGAAGCAAAGCAAATTAGATTCAAGTTACAGGGTTATTGCAGCGAGATCTGGTTTCCATGTGATTTTTCAACCAAAGTGTTCAGGCTTAGAAATTCATACTGGCATCCTGGCTGATAAGTTGCCATATTATGCTACATAATTTCTACAATCAGCTCTTTAATTATTATTACAAATCCAAATAAACCTGTTTTGACTCAATGGAAGGAAAAAAATGAATGGATAAAATATGGTTACAATATAATCTTAGTAAATCATGATAACAAGTTCAGGAAATTAACTCTGTCTTTAAGGAATATCACCTCAAGAAAGAAAGAAAAAGAATTTTAAACATTCTGATAATTTTGAATTTAAATGGTCTGATGTTAAAAGCTGTAATTGAGTTTATTTCCATAAGAAGGCATGACTGTTTTGGTGTTTTTAATCTTCATTTTCAGAAACGGAGAAAAATTGTATTTTCATATTTATCAGGAGGTGAATATGAAGAATGCTTTGTGAATTATGTTGGTGAAAATTCACCATCTCTGTAATTCACGAGAATATTTTCTGATTTTGAATACAATTTAAGTAAAAGAATTCATAGAAAATGAATTCAAAATATTCATCCCACTCAGGAAGTCTACTGGCAGTCAGTGAATTTCTTTGCTAAATTCACACGCTCAGTAAAATATTTGAACATCTAATTTAAATTCTTTGATTTGATTAACCCAGTGTGGTTGCTAAATACATCTGTAGTACCTTATAATTGATGCAAATACATAGTACTCATATTTTTGGATAAAGTAATAGCTTTTGAGAACTGTAAACAAACTTTTTAGGTTGAACAACTCAACTAATGTTCAAGATTCTTTCCAAATTTGAAGCATTTGATTTTGTCCAGTAACAAAGAATGGATAATAATTGCATGGTTTGAAAGTGTGTCTGTGATGTGGATCAAATATAAAAGTTCAGAATATAAATTGCTGTTAATTTAGAATTAGATGGTAGTGGAAAGTAATTTTTTTAGACAAAGAATGTGGCTGGAGTGTTTATCTCATAAGTCCTCTGACTACTTGTTTAGGATCCTTAAGTTCTCTTTTAACTCACAATTTTCTTTAAACAAATGTAGTAATATATTCTTTTGCACAATTTCATACTGAGCTATGAATTATAAAATCTCACTGCTCCGTTCTTGAAAAGGACTTCCATTTTAAAATATAATGAGTTAAAGAAGGTCAGAATGCAATTAAACCTTAGACTAAGGAAGCTGATAATCCAAGGAAGTATTTCTGAATTTTTAAGAATGTGTTTGAAATGCAGTCTTTCTGTATCTTAGAGAAAGTCATCAGAATGTTTGAAAAATCACTTGTTTGGGAATAGGGTTAATCATGAAAGATATTTCTCTGTGGAAGAAAAAAGCCACTATCCTTCAAAATAATTTTAGCCATTTCAAAGAGAATCTATTTCAAAACTACAAAATTCTTCATCAAGCAAAAATGTCAAAATGAATATTATTTGTCTCCTTTCTGAATTTTTATTTTTATTTTTATTTCCAGCGTAGCTATAGCTATTTTCATTGAGGATGTGAACTTTATCATTATAATTTCTGTTCATCCTCTTTCCTACATAGTTTATGTTTTTCAGAGGCTTTTGTAAGCTTTGACACCGAAATGACTTCTTGGTGATAGAAACTAGATGCAGGGACAGAAGACTGTTCTCCTGCCATTAATGTCATGTGTTTGCATGAGACATCTGATTTTTTTCTTGTGTAGACTATTG